GGTGTGAGTTTAAGCCACCAGGTTTGGGACTCAAACCACAGTCGACTACGTGGGAATCCAGCGACATAGCCATTACGCTAACTGCTGGTCTCCAAAATAGAGCTTTTGAGACCAGTGATGGTTTTCAGCTCTAGCTCTGATTTTGGGAAGCAGTGTCTTTAAACTGGAATGGGGAAGTGGGGCAGGTTTGCTCATTTGCATTACAAAGCCCCAATTACTGAGGGGAGTGGACACCTGAAGGATGGGGAGTGCTTGACTTTACACAGGTCATTAGTTTCCCAGCAGAGCTATTGCTCCAGAGGTGGGTTATGAACTGCTGTCTCTGGGAGCAGTGTGGGTCCCTGCGTGCACTCACAACTGCCGAAATCCCTTTCTGTGCAGACGACAGGACGTACCACTTCCAAGCTGAAGACGAACAGGAATGTCAAATGTAAGCTACTCGGAGGTGGGCCCTGGGCCGGGCTTTGCTTCTGTTCCTGGGATTTCACGCGGGGTCGCTGTCGTTTTCCTAGATGGATGTCTGTGCTCCAGAACAGCAAGGAAGAAGCCTTAAACAATGCATTCAAGGGAGACGACAGTACTGGAGAGAACAACATCGTCCAAGAGCTGACCAAGGAGATCATCTCGGAAGTGCAGAGGATGACGGGCAACGCCGTGTGCTGTGACTGCGGGGCGCCAGGTGACACACACACACACACACACACCCGGGCTGGAGGACGTTACATGGAGTTAAGTGCCACTTAGCCGAGTTCGCCCATCACACAGCTGCTCGGCGCATTGTGGGCTGCGGTGGAGAGGCTGGGCGGGTCTGCCTGCCGGGCCCTCAGCGCAGCACCCAGTGGGGCGGCCGATATGGCTGAAAAGAAGCCTGGGCTTTCTGAGAAATGAGCAGTGAGGGGCACAGAGAGGGGAAATGCAGGCCGTCCGTGCTCCTCTGTCCGGAGAGGCAGCGCCTGTGTGACTTCTTTACCTGGGGTTGACTCCACCTGCTGGTTGTCCGGCTTCGAATAACTCACAGCCCAGCTCTGGGACCTTGGAAGATTCCCTTGCCTGGCATCCGTGTTCCCATCTCTATAATGAACAGGCGCTGTCACCTGTCATGTTCTGCAAAATTAGATGTTTATTTTTGCATTGTGATAAAGCATATCAGGGGCTTCACTTTCTTTTTCTTATTTTAAGGTTTTTGCCATAGGGTGCTTGTACTCACCAGAGAGAGACAGAGAAGGAACGTGAGAAATCACCTGCTAGGAGGATGGCCACACCACCATCCCTTCTCCATTCTCTTCTCAGGATTTTGGGCATGCACATACATGCACCCAGCATGATTTTCAAAGCCGCCAGGTCCAGGACTCAAACCATGGTCAGCCATGTGGCAGTCTAGTGCCGTAACCACTGTGCCACCTGCTGGCCTCCATTTTCTTTTTTTACGAGAGAGAGTGAGAGAGAGAGAGAGAGAGAGAAACTCCTAGTAGGAACTCATGTGCCATTCAGCCCCAGCCAGCCGAGATCAGGAACATGCATTCATGCCGCCCAGTGTACAGGAGACCTAGGGGCCTTCCCACGTGGCTACAACACTGTGGAGCACTGTATTACCACTGCCACTGTGGCTGGCCAGCGGCTCACTTTGAATGGCTATATCGTATCACTGCTGTATGAATTTTTGTTGTTGTTGCCAGAAAATACGTGAACTTTCCAGAGAGAGAAAACACCCCCAGTGGGGCTTGGTCATGCTGTGGTTTTCCCCTCCCTTTGTGTATCCCATCAGAATTTAGGGCACACATGCACACGTACCCAGTATCTTTCAAGCCACCAGGTACAGATTCAAATTGCATTCAGCCATGTGGGATCTGGTTCCCATCACTGCTGATTTTAAAATACTCGTATTTAAAAAGGTAAAATAATTGACTTACTCCACTTAAAGTGGAATGGTGCTGAGGGTCAAGGGGATTTGCAAAATTTCCAGAAAGGTGGCGGCTGGGTTAGAATGGTCAGTTACCTTTTCATTCCTCTGCTTCCATGCCTTTTGTTTTTTTAATTGCTGGACGGTCTGTGCACACACCAGGGAAAGACCAAACAAGAGAGGGAGAGAGTATCCCCCAGCAGGGTGTGGTCACATTGCAGTCCCTTCTCCATTTCTCCATCATCTTGGGACTTGGGACAAGCATACATGCACACATGTGCATACACACACACACACACACACGGGTGTTTTTTAAGTCACTGCGGCTGAGATTTGAACCACGATCGGCTGGGTAGAAGTCAGGTCCCTTAACTATTAGGCTATGTGGCTGGTCCTAGGCCAATTTTTATGTTAAATTTAAAAAAAAAAAATGAAAAGAAAACTCGGATGGAGAGTTTAGAGGTGCTATTATTCTGAAAGTGTATTGGGCCTTGGATCTGCTAAAAATTATTACTTGGCTAAAGATAAGGTGTAGAGTGATGAGTTGTGAATGAGCTCTTTCTTGAAAAAGGATAGCGACCGTGCAGTACGTGGGTGTTTAAAGCACTTTGATGAAGAACTCAAAGCTGTGTCCATCGTGGCTTTGAAATGCTGAGACAACACAGACGATGCATTCTGAATAACGTTAACTGAATGTATGTTTGTACCCCCCAAAAGCACGATCAGTTCCATAGAAAAAGCCTCGCCTGGTGCAGACAGGGACTCCGAATTTGCCTGATGATCTACACTGTTCAGATTGGAACGTTTTTCAGATAACCTCACTAGCACCCAGTGCCCAGGGTCACGGCATTTACCTGCATGTCTAGGGCGGCGAGAGCTCTGCGCCGTACCATGGGCCAGGATCACGCACTCAAGCGCCATGTTTTAATTCCCCGTTTTCAGTACTTCAGCATTCAACTCGGGCATTTCTTGGGTCCCTACCGTGTGCCAAGCACAGAATAGGACAAGCACTGTTTCCCTGACAGTGCTGGACTTGGGCCGGTCTCTTGCCTCCTGGCCCACTTCCTGCTAGGACCAGGTTGCCGATAGGCATGGTCCTCGTTTGGGACCAGCCCTCGAGTATCCAGGTCACTAGAGGGCCCTCTCCATGTATTTCTATACATATAAACCTGTCACTTAAATGCACAGGAAGATGGAGGGGGGGGGGATTACAGAGGTGTGCATACGTGAACTGCAGGCCAAGCGGTGGTAGTTGTGGCTGGGTGAGCGTTCAGCTGTGTCAGGGATCAGACAGTGCCCCTGCTCAAAACTCCACATTCAGGACCAGCCCTGTAGTGTGGCGGTTAAGGGTGCCCTGTCCCCCAGGGCAGAGCAAGTTCATGTCTAGGCCCCAGTGGCTTAAAAAACATACTGGTGTGGGACCAGCAGTTGGCGTAATGGCCATGTCATTGGACTCCCATATAGTTGACCGCTGTTTGAGTCCCGGACCCGATGGCTTAAATTCACACTGGATGCGTGTGCTTGTATTCCTAAGATCCCGAGAGGAGAATGAAGGAGAAGGGATTGTGGCATGGCCAACCCCCTGGGGGTGATTTCTCGCTTTCTGTTTCTCTCTCTCTTTCTGGCAAGTGCATGCACCCTATAAGAAAAACCTCTCAAAAAAAACAACAACAACAACAAAAAAAAACATGCTGGTATACGTGCTCCAAGAACTGACAGGATGGAGAAGTGGAGGAGAAAGGATTACGGCATGATTGCATTTGACTGGGAGATGCATGTGAGCGCTCGGATGAGCACACACGCTCTCTGGCCATTGAGAACAACCTCCACGTCTGGTAATTCTGTGGGAAAGATGTCCGGTTCCCGGCGTTCTTTTTCCTGCGAGCTCAGATTCGCCCCATTCTCTTGGCAGATCCTACGTGGCTTTCCACCAACCTGGGCATCCTGACCTGCATCGAGTGCTCCGGCATCCACCGAGAACTGGGTGTCCACTACTCCAGGATGCAGTCTCTGACGCTGGACGTGCTGGGCACCTCTGAGCTGCTGGTGACGTTCAAACCCCGGGTTGGGCGGGAGATGAGCTGAGAGCGCCGTGTTCACTTTATCGTTCTAACCCACTTGGCTTCTTGGCGTTCTGGTGGGCAGGTGGTGGTTGATATGCTGCCACGTGGCTTTGGGGTAATTAGAAACCTGCCGGGAATTCCTCCCCTGCTACTAGTGTCAAAGGACCCCTCATTGCCAGCTTCACTCCTCCCTGAGTAAGGGGAGCGAAAGCACAGGCGCAGTCCCGAGAACAGCATGTAGGAGCTGCTGGGATGCCCACAGAGGATGCTGGCACAGCCCCGCTCACCACATCCAGGGCCCACGGCCCAAAGGCTGACAGGGATTTGTTCTCCATCAGGCACAGCTAGCTCAGGGCAGGGCCGTGGTCGGTGTGGGCCTCAGGCCTGTGGTGCACCTTTCCCCGTCCCCGTGGTCTCCCTGGGGGAGAAGTGGGTCTACATTTTGCTGCCTTTGTTTCCTGGTCGGCTCTTGTTCCTGGGTCATCAGTAGCTCACAGCCCGTGAGAGAGACGTGGCGAGACGGAAGCACTCCTGCTTTCAGGGCAGTGAGGCTGCGGCCCACTGGAAAAGAGTAAGGCAGACGCAGACGCAGGTTGTGCTTGGGCCACTGGAACCATGAGCATTTGGAGCCAGCAGGTGGTGTGGAGGTAAAGGTGCTGGATTCCACATGGCCAACTACACGCATTGAATCCCAGGCCCGGAAGCTTGAAAAACACTCTGTGTGTGTGTGTGTGTGTGTGTGCGTGCGCGTGCATGCATGCATATGTGCGCCCAAAATCCTGAGAGGAGAATGGAGGAGGAGGGATTATGGTGTGGCCATCCCCCCTGAGAGGTGATTTCTCACCACCGTCACCCCCTGCCATCTCTCTTTGGCAAGTGCACATGTCCTATCAAAACAAACCAAAAAACTAAAAAAGACAAAAAACATGAGTGTTTGTGGACTGTTTTCAAAATCCGTAGGGACCAGCAGTTAGTGTAATGGCTATATCGCTGGACTCCTACGTAGTCAACTGCGGTTCAAGTCCCGGACCCGGTGGCTTAAACTCACGCCAGACATGTGTACATGCATGCCCAAGATCCCGAGAGAAGAATGAAGGAGAAGGGATTGTGGTGTGGCCATCCCCCCGGGGTGTGATTTCTCACTTTCTGTCTCTCTGTCTCTGTCTGTCTGGCGAGCGCATGTGCCCTATAGCAGAAACCTCTCCAAAAAACACAATGTGTAAAGGCTGGTTAGAAAGCAGCACTTGCGATTCTGTCTGGGGTCGCTGGGCTTTGGACATAAACGTAAGTGGGTATTGATTGCCATGGATTTTAACGTCAAGAACAGCAGTCTGGACAGAAAATCCATTATTGTTGTCAATATTCTTCTCAGAGGGCCATAAATCTTATTGACGACTGCCCTGGATCTAACGTATGTGAATGTCAGATACATCTGGGCATATCTCATTGAGTCCTCCCGTCTCTCCAAGGGATTCCAGCCGGCCCTGAGGGACAGCTGGGAGAGAAGCTAGGGTGCGGGTGACTGGTTAGTGGCACGCCTGGCTGCTTAGCATTTAAAGTCAGCCGGCCTCAGGCAGCCCCAGGCAGCGTATTCTGTTCCAGACTGGTTATTGCCGTGACGGTGCAGTAACCCCTGACCAGGAGTGTGTGTGTACACATGGGGTGTCTGGGACTGGTGAAGGCGTAGGCTTGAGATTGCCGCCGTGTATTTCTAGAGAAGCACAGATTGCTTCTCAGGAGACGCTAGTGAGCGTGGCAGGTGTCCTTTTAGGTTGTCCTGTAGCAGTGGGAGGCGTTGATTGGCGATGGAATAGTGACCGGCTGGCTGCTGTTCGCCCTGTGCACGTCACCGTGCATCTGTTAGCCGATTTGACCTTCACAGCAACCGATGACCCTGCTCTGTTGTCCCCACTTTACCCAGGAGGAAACTGAGACTTAGAATGTTCTAATACGGCCAGAGGTATGTTGCTATTAAGGTGGCAGATCTAGGGTGAGGTCCCCTTTACTCTCAGCTTTGGGGAGCTTGGGACAAAATCTGCTATTTCTGGTATGTTGTTTTGCCATGTGGCAAACATCTGAGCACCAGTACTGTTCCACCCGTTGCCTATCCCCAGCGCGTACTGAGCAGCTAACTTTCGGGAAAGAGAAACCCTGGTTCGCAATACGCTTATTCCTGCGGCGTAAATGCTCTTACTCTGATCTGTTTCAGATTTCCCTAGTAGGAATTACGAGTGTGGAGTTGGAAGGGGGTGTTCTGTGCAGTACATGCACCATACAAACGCAGCGAGTGGGCCAGCTGGTGGCATGGTGGTTAAGGAGGTGGCTCCCACCTGGCTGGCTCCTCCGTTTGAGTCTCAGAGCAAGCAGGCTCGAAAAGCATAGCAAACATGTGTGCACATGCCCCAAATCCCAGAGGAGAATGGAGAAGGTTTCGGCATGACCGTCCCTCAGGGGTGCTTTCTCACTCTCTCACTCTTTCTCTAGGTCTCTTGCCAGTGAGTGCATGCGCCCTATAGCAACTTTTAATTTTATTTATTTATTTATTTAGATTTTCACCATAGGGTGTGTGTGCTCACCAGAGAGAGACAGAGAGAAGGAGAGTAAGAAATCACCACCAAAGGGCATGACCATGCCGCAATCCCATCTCCTCTATTCTCCTTTCAGGCTTTTGAGCACGTGTGCACACGCCCAGCATGATTTTTAAGCCACCGATCCAGGACTCAAACTACAGTTGACCAGTGGGAGTCCAGTGTCATAACCACCATGCAATGGTGGGGGGCCGGCAGGTGGCATGATGATTAAGGATGCTTGACTCTCACATGACTGACCATGGTTCAAGTCCCGGACCTGGAGGCTTGTTTTCTCACTTTTCCTCTCTTTCTCTGGAAATATTTTAAAATAATAATAATACATAAAGTTAAATAAAAATTCTTTAAAAAATACAATGGGCATAAATAACTTTAAGAACATAGATTATAACAAAATGTAGCAAAATAGTAAGGAAGTGGTGAGTTTCAGGAATCTAATAACTTAGTTTTTAATATAATTAATGCAGTTGTGAGTTTATATTATGTAATTGTTAATAGTAGCAGTGTTTAATGTTTGACTCACAAAATTCTTGAGATCGACTCTTATGAGCTAGCCTGACCCCAAGATCTGTCCGAACGGCTTAAACGGGTCCCAAAAATTTAACTAATGATTTTCAATGAGATTTTGTTGCCTACTAAAGAGGAAGACACCAAAGAAATTCTAAAGGAGTATTTTGTTTCCATCTTGATGAAATGATGAGATAATTTCAGATCCCTGGTTCAAATTTTAGTTCTGTCTCCCAGAACCTCAGTTTGCCTTTTTACAGGATTTAAAGTTTAGCAAACTCTTAACCATTAGGAGGTAAAGAATCAGGCAGAATCTGCTTAACTAATTTCTGCCGTAGTTTTAAGCTCTCCCTTATGCGAGCCTCGTTCCTAAGTGGTTATCAGAAAAGCAAAAGAGCAGACAGCGGCGCTGAATCGTGACTCATTTCCCACCCTCTCCCTGCCCTGGAACTCAGGCTGGTTCCTGGTGGGTCACAGGAAGTCCCCCCACGTCCCCACCAATCTGTGTGTGGTGTGCCAGACTGTGGGCACACCGCATCCGGAACCTTCTTCCTGAGCCTCAGAGTCAAGCAGGGGAGTGTCAGCAGCTGCTGCTCATGTGTAAAGCCCGGACACTTCTCATCTTTTTTTCTTTTTTTTTTTTTTTTTTTTTTTTTTGCCATAGGGAAGGTGAGAAATCACCCCCGGAGGGACGGCTACATCACAACCCCTTCTCTGTTCTCCTCTCAGGGGAGAACATACATGTACATGCGTCCAGTGTGTTTTTTGGGCACTGCATCCGGGCCTCCAGCCATGAAGTCAGCCATGTGGGACTCAGCACCCAACCACCACTCGCCTGCTGGTCCCCTTTACCCACCTTTTTAAAGCACCCAGCTTGCTTATTATATTTTGCTTAGATAATCGGGTTCCTGACAGACGTCCTGCGGCTGAGACCTCTCTGTGTGTCTGTGCGTTTGGAATTGCGTCTGGCACACAGTCAGAGCCAGAAAGCATTAGCTGTCATTACAATCTCCTCCTCCAAGATGATCTGAACAAAATTCCTCCAGAAGATGACCCGATGTCTGTCCTAGGAGCGATCTCAAGGAGACGCCGCAAGTTTCCGCTCTCCTTTGTCTGCGGTCGGCCTTTCCAACGCGCAGCTGCAGAGCCGTGTCGGTGGATTGTCGGCCAGGGCGAGCCTTCTTAGAAAGCAGCAGATGCGGACCAGGCCTCGTGGGAGGCGGTCAGTGTGTCTGGGCGCCTCTCAGGAGCAGTGCTCGTCCTCCATGACTAGCAGGACAGCCCACGTCTCAGGCTGGTGTTCTGTGCCAAAGAGATTAAAAAAAAATTTTCACTGGGCCCAGGCAGAGTGGTGCCCGCAGTGGGGCATCACTCTACAGTGCTGGGCCTCGTGAAAGACCAAGGTTCGGGTCCCGAGTTTACCTGGAACGTACCAGGTGCCTGCCTGCCTCTGATCCTGGCTGGCAGCGAGATGAGACCCTGCCAAAGGTGCCTGTTTCCTTCTCTCTCGGGAAATAAAGCTCTTACGTTTTGTATTACCTAGTTTATGGTATACAACGTGGTGTTTTGGTGTACCATACACTTGGTGAAGTGGTTAAATCAAGCTAGGTACATGTCCATCCCCTTGTGGTGAGGACTTAGAACACACTCCCTCAGCTGTTTGCAAGTGTACAGTACCGCGTTATTGACGGTGGTCACCGTGTGGTCGGCACGTCAGAGTTTGTTCCCTTTGACCAA